TCTTCCTGATGTTGCTGTCACTTGGTACCACTACATCTATCACCATCACTGTCTTCTGGTCCGTGGCTACTACCACAACGTCTGGTTGATTGGCCAGTACCCGCCTGTCCGTCTGGGTCTTGAAGGCCCACAAGATCTTAGCCCTGTTCCAACCTTCTGTGGAATCTCCCATCTGGACTTGGGAGGGTCTAGCCCATACACTGTACAGATGTTCCTGTACACAATGCCAGCTACTTGGTTCTGCCATTCAGTGTATGCTGTTTCTGCCTGCATCTTAAACCCTGCCACTATGTGTTGGACTGTCTCTGAGGCCTCTCTGCCCAGTCTGCACCTTGGGTCCTGTCTAGTGTGGTAGACCCCTGCTTCTATGGATCTGGTGCTTAGTGCCTATTCTTGTGTTGCTATGATCGGTGCCTCAGTGCTATCTTTTAGTCCAGCCCTTTCCAGCCACTGGTAGGATTTCCCAACGTCAGCCATCTCAGCTGTCTGTCAATGGTAGATCCCATGCAGGATCTTGTCTTGCCATGGCACTTCCACTGCTTGAAATTCCTCCCAGGTCTGCCGTTGCCTCTCAGCAGCTCATCTTTGGTTGCGGTCTTACTGATGTACTCCTAGAAGCTCTGGTTTCGTCCAGGACGGTGGCTCTGATGCTTACCAGACCCCGCCTGCCCTGTGTACATTCTCTGGGTGTTGGACTTGGGGTGGAAACCTCTGTACATTGTGAGGAGCTTTCGGGTCTTTACATCAGCAGCCTTCATGTCCTCCTTTGGCCAGCTCCATGTACCAGCAGGGTATCTGATGACTAGCAGGGCATACATATTGATGGCGCAGATCTTGTTCTTCCCATTGAGCTGGCTTTTCAGGACCAGTCTTACCCTTTGATGGTACTTGGATGTTGCTGTCTTCCTTACCACCTCATGGTTCCCATGTGACTGTGGGATACCAAGGTACTTGTAGCTGATCTGTATGTTTGCTATGTGGCCCACTGATAGTTCCACCCCATCAGTCTTAACTACCTTCGTATGTTTGCTATGTGGCCCACTGATAGTTCCACCCCATCAGTCTTAACTACCTTCGTATGTTTGCTATGTGGCCCACTGATAGTTCCACCCCATCAGTCTTAACTACCTTCCCTCTCTTTACTACCATTTGGCCATATTTCTGCAGTCCAAATGACATCCCAGCGTCCTCACTGTAGATCCGTGTCAGGTGGATCATTGAGTCGATGTCTCATTCACTCTTAGCATACAGCTTGATGTCATCCATGCAGAGGAGGTAGCTGACAGTAGTTCCACTCTTGAACTTGTATCCGTATCCAGTCCTTGTGATTATCTGGCTGAGGGGGTTCAAGCCTAGTAGGGGTGTCCACAGGGGGGTATCTGTATGTGTGTGAATAAAACAGGTGGAACTTTGATTGGACCATTGCACCTCTTGAAGTTTTTTAACATCACCTATGGATGCCCCTGCCCTACATACTGCCTTGCAGACCTCTTCTAATATAATTGTCATCAGTAGTCAGAGTGGCTATTGGTGAGAAATAATAGAGGTGCAAGCTGACCCATTTGGAGAGGACCATGTAAGGAAAGGCTTCTGGCAGAAACTAAAGATGTGGTTTTAAAGGCTGATATCTTATTAACTTAAGAGTTATATCCAGTTTTTCATTTAAATGAAATCTTCTATCAGTTATGATGGCACATTTAATAAGAATTTGTCAATTTTTCAGGTTGCTTGTTTCTTCACCCTGGAGTGAAAATAGAATGGGAGATATCTATAAGTGTACTGTTCATCAACAGGGATCCAAATGTTTAAAGATGGACTTGCAGAGTAAGTTGTGTTATGAGTTTGTTTTGATTGGCAGTCAATCTCTGGCTGCTACTTTGTAAAGTAGCAACTGTTTACTTTGCGTGTCCACACCTTACTCGGTGGTCAAAATGTGAGAAGCCCAGCTGTTGGTTATATTCCCATGGCTGTTGCACCAGACAATGGCCATCAATGCTAGACAGCTTCTGGTGCATTTGGGAATGAAACCTTTGGGCACTGGGCTGGAAAAGCCTGCACTTCCTTCCTCCCCACAACCCCTGCACAGCCTTCGGGAGATCAAGAGCTGGAGGGCTCTTTTATGGCTTCTTCTTCAGCAAAGTTCTGTGTCCAGAGACTACAAAGGGAATTAATTCATGATTAATCCCCTCTTCCCTCTGTCCAGATAACAGTAAGCCGTGTAGTACAGACTCTAGTTAAGATACTACTTTTTCTCCAAAGTTTAACTCATAGTCCAAGTTTCATGTTACAGGTAGTCCCTAGTTTAAGAACAAGTTCCATTCCCAAGGTCTATCCTTAAATCAAATTTGTATGTAAGCTAGAACAGTATTATTATGTAATACTGTAATGAACTCGAACCATTGTGTATTTAACTCAAATTTTGCTACAGTAGGCTCTGTTCTTAACTATGAGTCCTTAAACTGGGTGTTCTTAACCCAGGGACTCCCTGTATACTTTTTAATATATTGCTCAAATTTTCTTTTATTTATTCTTTTTAGTTGTTACAAGCATACCAGATGTTAATGGGATAAAGAAGGACATGAATCTAGGATTAACTCTAGTAAGAAATCCAAGAACTGGAGGCTTTTTGGTAAGTATGAAAGATGGGGGCACCACTAATATCAGTTCTCTTGGTCACTGACAAATTATAATAGTTTTTACTTTTCTCTGTGCAGGTATTGAGCAGATAACACTTCTGTGCAGTAAATTTATTTTCTAAATGGGATAAACAACTGCAAATTTCAGTCTGTTTGATTTTCTGTTTAATGTTGCTTTATACAGTACATATCGTATATAGTAGGAAATCTTTCTTTGGGTCTCCTTTGGAATTGCCAGCTTCACCTACAATTCCAGACTTCACCTACAAAGCCTGGGAACTACCTGCAATCATCCTTCAGCCATAACCAACCATATCTTGACATTTCAATCAATCACTCAATCAATTTTTATTTTGGTCATAGACCAGCATATAACTAATAACAATTATGCTAAAATAGAAATAAAAATAAAGTCACACTGACAGAATAAAATAAGGTAAAGATAGAATTGTTAAGGTAAAATTACAAAGTACAGGTATTAAAACACAAAATATCCTACAAAATTACAATTAAATTTTGCAGTGAATAATCTAAATGCAATAAACTAAGACAAATAACTATAAAAGGGCATAAGTAATACTATAATTTATAAAACATTACAAAAATGTAGGCTATGCTAACTTACATTAGCTCTAATATTTGCTGAAGCCCTGCTGGGTTTGTTAGAATTAAGACCATTATGTTCCAGCCAATTATAACAAAGAAATAGCAAAATAAAACATAGAGTGGTATGTGTATATTTAAAAAGAGAAGAGGGGGGAAAGAGAGGGGGGGCTTTATATTTAAGCACTAGTGTTCTCTATTTTTTTTTTTCCTTTAGTTTTGTTGCAACTTTGTCAAGTTCTAAGGTATGCTACAGTTGTGGTGCTTTTTTGAACAGTTGACAAAATTACAACCACAGTTTCACAGAGTAATTTAGGAGAATGGGTTGAATGTTAAGGCAGTAGTGCTCCACAGCTGGATTGGAAAGCAGTGAACAAACCAAAGCAAATACCTTCGAAATTCCTGTATGGTAAAATTAGGTACATGATTAAATATTGTGTCATTCAGAACTAAGAAATCTGAAACAGAACAAGATGGCTTTTAGGCCAAGGATCTTCACATTAGAATGATTCTGTCTTTCTGCTATATTTAAAAACAAGTCCACTATATAAGCTCCAAACGAGGAGGTGATATAATAAATCCCTTTTATAAAATCTTGTCCCATTGTAATTGCCCTTTTGCTGTCACAAACACTTATCAGTTAAAAATACCAGATTGGGTAGTAACTCAATAGTCCAAAATCCAATAGATGTTTTGGAGTTTTTTTCTATGAATTTTTAATTTCTTGTTACCTAGTGAGTTTCATGAATGGATAGGAACTTGAACATAGAGATTCTTGATCCATATCCAAGACTTTAACCATTACACTATTCTTTCTCTCATAATAAATAAATAATTTGTGTATTGTATCTTTTTAAATGCTTGGAATTATTTCTTTTCATGTTTAAATCTTTTTTTTAAATCTAATCTTGAGAATGAAATTCAATTTTGCATATATATTATAATGCCAATGCATGAAGTATGAGGAAGCAAACTTAAAAGTAGAGTTCACTTTTGCATTTCCAGCAACTTTTTTTGTGCTTACTGATGAGATTTGAAATTACGTTTGGAGAAACCTTTTAGAGTACATTATTTACATAGCCCTGAAAAGTGCAGTCGGTAGGTTTAGCTTATATATTGCAGACACACAAAATTAAGTCCCTTATGACTTCCTTGCATTGTGGATAATGTTTCCTATATTATAGAGACCATTCCAACATAATGCAGCATTTGTGGGAACTACTAAAAGCAGATGCATTGAAAAATTATACACACTGCAATATCGATATTTACAGGAGTTCAGCTTTATTGGAATTCAGTTAGATGTTGGCCACCCTTGGTCTGTGATGTAATTCAGTTTCTAGGCCTGCTAGAAATGCTCAGGGTTCCTCAGTCCTTCCCTGAACCAGTCACCAAGATCTGCCAAATCCAACTGCTTATTAAGCAGAAATAACTTACCTGTATAGGTGATTAATGTTGTGTGCTGTTATTAATAAATAAATAGTTTTAATAATAATTTTAAAACTGCCTGAAGCCCTGTTTTTTTCTTGGAATTTGTCATTGTCTTCCTTTGCTTTTTTGTTTCTAAGTAGAAGGAAAACTGTGAACATTGCAGATTTAAACTAGGGAGACTCTGCACAAACAGTTCAAAGTTGCTGTGCACAGTTTCAGCCATATTTCCATTTCCTTCCTTTACATCATAGATGCACAGCCTGCAGGCAGCATGCAATTTATGGCATATAAGTCTGTTTTCCCAGCATCGCTTTTGTCTCGTTTGAATCCAGACATTATATTTTGTAACTTGTATTTTATAAATTAGCTTATTCAGACCAAGTTAATTATGATTCATTGAGTAAACCATGAGCAAACATGAAAGTACATACAGGTAGTCCTTGTTTAGCAACCACAGTTGGGACCGGCAACTCGGTCATTAAGTGAAGCATTCGCTAAGTGGAAAATTATGTGACTGCAACTGTGCTTTCCTTTCCCCCACTCCCTGGCATTTGGAATCTCACCCCGGCGCTGGGATAATTAGCAAGAAGGGAATTAATGCTTGTATTTCTGTTCATAGGAGAGGAAGGGATTACAAGAGAGTAAGCAGGCACACAATGGGGAATACACATTGAATGGAATGCACTGTCGCTGGGAGCCCTGAGCATGCTAGAGAAGCAGCTGATATATTCCCCATTGTATTCCAGCCTACTCTCTTGTAATCCCTTCTTCTCCAATCTCTCAGCTCTTTAAGGGGGAAAAAAAGAAAAAAAAATGGGTCAGGCACAGGAGAGATTGCCTAAACTCTTTAGGCAATCTTTCATGTTCCTGACCAGTCCCCCCGCCCCCATCCCAGAGAGCAGAGAGATTGGAAAGGAAGGGATTACAAGAGAGTAAGCAGACATACAATGGGAAATACACATCAAAAGGAATGGGCTGGTGCTGGCAGCCCTGAGTATGCTAGGCAAACAGATGGTGAATTTAGGATACCTGTGTGGGCAATATGAGCTCTTAATAAGGGAAATACAATACAGTGCACCATCAGGCAAAAGGCCTGGCTCACATGTAAAGCCATAAGTGTAGCTTGCTTGGTTTTAGTTTAGTGGTGAGCCTCACCTGTAAAGGCTGAACATTATGCTGGCCCCATGGATTGTTCAACAAAGTACGTTTTTAAAAAGTTCTGTCCCAGCAGCTTGTGAAAATATGCCATAAATCTGTCATATGTGAAGGGAAAGAGATCAAAGCTCTGTCTGCTCTGCTGTCTGATGCTGTGTTTGTGGTTTTGGTTTAGAATATTATTTCTCTTTTTGTTTTTAAGACATGTGGTCCTTTGTGGGCTCAACAATGTGGAAGCCAGTACTATGCAACAGGAATATGTTCTGAATTCAGTCCAAGTTTTCAGATCCTGAGAAGTTTTTCACCTGCAGTGCAAAGTAAGGCAATAAATGTTAGCATGCTTCAGTAAGAGATGTTTGAAAAATGAGACACAATAATGTATGAAACATACAGGTTGCCAGATTTGGATTGCAAAAATCCACTAGATAGCAGCATTTAGAGCTTTTTAAATCCTGTTGTTGCCATGTAATAATCACCAAGATTTCTGCAGTCCATATTTGGCAACTTTAATATAGGTGAAGTGGTACAGCCTTTAAGTATAATGAGTGTTTCATATGCCTTTTGAACTGGAAATGTTAGCTCTTCTAGATCTATGTGAAAGAGCTATTTAGCAGTAATTATTTTTGGTAGAATTTTTTTCTCTTTGTTTAGGCCATTGTGATTGTAGGCTAATCAAGGCTGTGATTATAGAAATGCTTAATAGTATCTTTGGCCCCATGCCCATATTATTTTGGGAACTTTAAAAAGCTTTTATATTTTAAATTTCAGGGGAGTAATTATACTGGGCCACTTAAGTACTACTGAAATAATGCAGAGGAAAGTAAAGCTGCATGTCATTTATTATTATTATTATTATTATTATTTATTATTCACTTATTGAATAATTATAATAAAACATCCACATAAATGTAATTATCTAGATAGAGCAGAAGGTGAGATATGTATGTCTTCTCCTGCCCTTTCCTTCCTAATCTTTTTCCTTATCTTCTCTCTCCAGCTTGCTGAAGCTCTGATCAGATCAAATAGCTTCCAGAGGGGAGTGGTGGCAGGAATAGGATTGAAACAGAAGCTGTAGCAGCCTCATTGCACCTAGCACAGAGAGAGTTAAATCTCTGTGCTTTCCACTTCACAATGTCCTCTAGTCCTGAAAAGAATTCAGATAGTCCTCATTTAGCAACTGCCTTGTTTAGTGACCATTAGCAGTTATGGTGATGAAAAAGGTAACTTTCTGATTAATCTTCACATTTACGACCTTCACAGGTCTGTAAAGCAAGGGAAAACTGAAGTAAGATCATAAGCACGGTTGTGGTTTTATTTATCGACCACTTCACTTTATGACCAAGTTGCCAGTCCCAATTGTAGTTGCTAAATGAGGATCTTTTTTCATCTTAAAAATGGAGACAGTGGTCTCTCCCAACTTGAATAGGGCAGCTTTCCTTTCATTATATTATAAATATTCTTCTTGCACTACTGATACTATTTCATTGTTAGCAGGAATGTAGTTTTGATATAAAATTGCAAGGAGTAAAAATCACTGTTTTAATTTAACTCTGTGAATGTTTAACATCAAGTGAGACAGGTTGCAAAGGAAAGGGTTCTTAGAGAAGTTTGCTTTCTACCCTGTTCTTTTGCAGACTGTTCTTCGGCCATTGATGTAGTAGTGATATGTGATGAGTCAAACAGTATTTATCCATGGGATGCTGTGAAAGATTTTTTGAAAAAATTTACCCAAAGTTTAGATATAGGGCCCACAAAAATACAGGTAAGCAAATTAAACTAATACAAATGAAAATGCAGATTTTGGCCACTTGACAAATCTTATTTTTTTAACCATGAAGCCTTTTTTTCTGTAGTCTTAGCAGAGAAGTAGAAAAACAAAACAAAAATAACAAAATGTAAGAGTTAAAACTGAGTCATCAGATTGCCACTAGGTATTTATTTTCTGCCCAGATAAATTGAGGGGGCCTCCATAATATTAGCAGCAGTTTTTCCTTTCCATACTTAAGTATACTTTTGTTCCAGCGGAGATAAATGCATCTTTGTTGTTTTTTGGTGGCATTTTAGGAAATAAGGATCATACACTTTAAGTGGAAGAAGTGAAATAATGCATCTTTACTATTGCTGTGATGCATTATTTCATTGCGATGATGGTCCAAAACTGGTCTGGGAATCATTGCCCTTGCCTGATGAACAGTTACACCTCAGTAGAAAAGAAATGGGCCCATGTTATCATTGCTTAAAGACATCCAATTTTTATGGAGGCTTTGAATTCATTTTTTCAAAGTTTTTTAGTAGAGTATACTCTGGTTCTACCACTCCTATGCTATACTGTGGTTGATCTAGTTTTGACTTAACATATTGTGTGAATTCAGCCAATTATGGCTAATTCAAGGAAGCATAATTTAACAAAATATACGTTAGCATGATGTGTGGGGCTAATAAGTATTGACAAGAAATGTTTAAGGCTTCAACTTTCTGTCTGTGGTGTTGTTCATGTTTTCTTGTAATAAGTATTCAAAAGGAATTTCATCCAGTTTTGTATAGAACAAGCAACTTCTCTTCTTTGTTAGTTAGGCAAGTATTTCCTTCTAAGACATTGGTTTGTGTACATTGGCAGCCTTTGTGCTAATGGAAAACACTTTTGCTGCATGGAATGTCACACTCAACTTTGGATGGTCCAACCCACCTACTTTGTCCCTTGATATCATATTCCAGATGCTGCAGATCTTAGGTTAAGCTATTATGTTATTGGATTAGCACATTGTGTGAACCCAGCCAACTATTCTTTATTGACCAAATCATCATTAAATCATACCCTTGTGTTTTTATGAGCCCAGCTGGTTAAATAATTCCCCATCATTCTATGGAGAGAGCAGAAAATTGATTGATTGATTTGGAAGATCTTGTAAAACTGTTTCTACCAAAATAGTTTTTATTCTACAAATCCTGTTTATCCAAACCATGGTTTATTACTGAATCTCGCAGTTCTCAACACTATCTTTAAAGCAGGAGTTGGCAGCAGTGGATGGAAAAGATTACATACAAAAGCTTTGCAAGTACATCCATTGGATGCAACCGTAATAAGAAAGTTTCAGTTTTTATGCACAAATTGACAAATAAACCCACATTTTGTATAATGCAGAGAAACAGATTAATGAAGCTAGTATATGATGCTTTTCTTTTTCATTTCTTTTAAAAATTACTTTAGGTAGGCTTAATTCAGTATGGCAATGACCCAAGAATTGTTTTCAACCTGAACACACACACCAATAAAAAAGCTGTTGAACAAGCAATGTCAAAAACCTATCAGAAAGGAGGGGACCAAACTAATACATTCAAAGCCATTGAATATGCCAGGTAAAGCTTAAAGTAATGGCTAGTTCAGGTAAATGGGTATTTTTTAATACTAAAACAATCTGAATGCTGTTAATGCTAACAGATCCGTATATGAGAGTATGTTTTAAATATGGTGGCTGATTATTTGGCCTGGAGAAGCCCCCTTTTTTTTTAAATCAACAGTTCAGGGATATGATGGGAGGTTGTGATAACCCATCATATTAGTTGTGGGCAGGACTTTTAGGCTTCTTATTTGCTTGGAGGGGTGTATGCATTTTTTCTCCTCTTTTTAGGTGTACGAAGCCAGTCTGGCAGCCTGCACATCTTCCAACTTTGTTTTTCTTTTGATAATTAGGAGGAACAAGCATCTTTGCAATTGGATGGTTTGCTGTTGAATTTCAGCAGCCTGATCCTGGGGACTTGGGAAGGTCAAAAATGAGATCCTTTGACCCCATGTGGTCCATTGGTTGCCCATTCCAGATTAAAATAATGTTGGAATAATTATTTTCATATCAAAAGAATTCTGCACTGAAACTGTCCTCCAACTATTTTGTTGCTAGTGAAAACTGGTAATGAAAGTATGCATAAAAAAATTCATGTCATGTTAATTGCATCTGTGGTTTATTGCAGACAACATGCTTTCTCAAAAGAAGCTGGTGGGCGACCAACAGCCTCAAAAGTTATGGTGGTTGTCACAGATGGTGAATCCCATGATGGCTCAAATTTGTCAGAAGTAATAGCTAAATGCAATGCAGATAATATCACTAGGTTTGGTATAGCTGTAAGTAAACTTTTCATTCTTCCAATTCTATTTTCTGTTGGCTTTGTGTGAATAATTTTTTAAAATTTGTTTTAAAATGTTTATAGCCCACCCAAATCAAAAGATTCTGGTTGGGTTTTGACATATATAAAAGCAGCAATAGTAATATATCTCCCAAGGCACACATCAATAAATCTATCTAAAGTTCAAGGCCCAAAGAAATAAAATTGTCTTTAAATATCTTCTGAAAACCACGAGAGACAGAACTTTATGGGCCTCTGAGAGTTAAGAGTCCTGAAGTGTGAGGGATGCCCCAGAGAAGGCATGTCATCTCATCTCACTTCAGTTGGGGAGATGCTTACCATAATCCATCCATCCATCCATCCATCCATCCATCCATCCATCCAT